TTTACTATAACTACACCGGAAGCTCTCCTTGTCTAAACACATCACAGACAGCAACCAGCAGCCTTGGCTACCTCGGCTGGTTTTACCAGGTGCATAAAACAGCGCGGGGTTCAGTCATGTCATGCTGAATAAATCGGTGCACAGAGGTGTGAGTGGGCAGCTTTTCCTGTCACAATGAATATGTATTCAATCCCTTGTCCCCAGGCCTGCACGGAGATGGTGATGCCCATGTGCACAGATGGCGTGCAGGACATGTTTGAACCAGAGGAGTGGAACTTCCAGGCCTTCTCTGATGAGTGCAAAGCCATGTTTGGTATCAGGCCACGGGCTGACTGGGCAGGCACCGTCTACGGGGGGAAAGAGATCTCCTCTCACAGCAACATCATCTTCAGGTAAAATACCAGATTTAGGGATTTCTTGAGATTTCGGGATTTGTCTAGGGATGCAAAAGTAAGTTAAGTGCAGATTCTGACTGCCTTGTATTGCAGGTAAGTTCACATGTGGGTAGCCACACAGGCAAGACACATATTAAACCTAAATGGCTCTGAAAATATATATATATGTCAGTCTTTAATCTCAGCACTGACAGATAAGACTGCCACTGGTTCAGTCACTTCAAAGTATTCTTGTGCATTCACAGAATTATCAGATATTAGAGTACAAAGACACTTTAATGTGTCCATGGCAGAAAATTCCTGGCTTAACTATTGCTAGCTATCAACATTGTTTCTGCTTTCACATTTCAGTAATGGAGGACTCGATCCATGGTCATCTGGTGGAGTGACTTCCAACATCTCACATTCTCTGGTTTCCATTATGATTCCCGATGGAGCCCACCACTTAGACCTCCGCTACAGCAATGACCTTGATCCACCTTCAGTCCGTGCTGCCCGGGCGTTAGAGGTGAAGTATTTTCAGGAGTGGATCAAGAAGGCTAAAAAGGCACATAGAGCTGCACCAACCGGCTAGTCTCCAAAAGCAGCACAGTTCTACCCAACGAGGATATTCATGATGTCCAAGATTTAGCTTTAAATTGTGCGACACGTTTTTGATTGTTTTGTGTGTTTTTTTCTCGGTGCTTTATCTATCACGATGCCAAAGTTTGTTTTTTCTCTGACCAATTTAGAAACACTCCGCTTCTTTGGGTCAAACATTAAAATCTGAAGGGCTTGATGACAAAATGTACTGATGTTGCTGCAAAAACAATTGACCTGTTTGTCATGTACAAACTGTTGAAAATAAAGCTGCAGGGTAAATACATTTTGGTTCTTTATTTCTGCAATCGTATTATCATCATAATCATCAAAAAGCTGCATCATTCTCATTTTGTCTCTCATGTAAAGTTTTCTAAAAATACCCATAAATGTTTCTCTACCTCCAAAACTCACATGTTCCTCTTTTGGAATTTATTGCAAGTTTATTGCAAATTTAGAGTTTCTGGGGGGTTTTTTGTCACGCTTGTCAGTTAGCCGTGGTTATTATTCAGGCATCTCTTAAAGTTATTGTAATATGCAGATTAAAAAGTCTCAGAGGAAAATTCTGGCACCAAACACAAAGGCAAAGCATTTTTGAAGGCTTTCACTGCACTTGGTGTAATATGAAACTTAATCTGTTTGCTGTTCACAGGAGGACACTGCCTTCCATGCATTTTATCATTTTCTCAATACGCTGGAATTCCCAAATAACACTTCTTCTAATGAAACCGATTAAAAAGCTCCAGGTTTACTGTCGTCTAAGCCTTCATATTATGTTTTGAGCACTTACAGATGCGCTGTTGCCGAGCACACCCTTTGTCATATTTTAGATAGACTGGGGACTTTAACTTTCATTTCCAGCTCTCAAGAACAATTGCACGTGCTTGAGATTTAATAAAAACCCAATCGGAGGAGGCCAATAAAGTGAGTGGTGGGAGATTATTGCAGTTTTGCCTGCTGACCTTACCCCTGCAGACCAACCTGTGGGATTCCCCTCGACACGCATTAATTCACTGGCTGCCATTAAAGCACTAAATTGTGGCACCAAGGCAGCCTGTAGACTCTGGTTTGTCCCCCCTGCAAGTAATATTATTAATACAATTCCTGTGGTGCCAGAGTAGTTGAGAAAGGTTGATGGAAGGTTAACAGTGAGGCGGTGAGTAGTTGCAGGAATCAGTTGGGATCCAAGAAGCTTTCTGTAGTTCTGTGAACTGCCTTTTTACTTTCTTCTTCTTTTTTTTTAAATGTCAAGATAAAAGACTCAAATGTCATGAAAGAACTAAGACTAAACTCCACCGCCGCTAATGAAAACATGTCATCCTGCTTTGTAATTTTCTTTGAACTACTCTCTCCAATACTTTTTTTTTAAACCTCTTCTTTTAAAGCAAAAGCCCCTGACATGACATGACCTTGTGATGCAGATGGGAAACATGTCCTGCACTGGTATGTGGGTTGATTTTCAACCAGGAGACACAAAGCCTGACTTTTCAGTGTTTTGTCACAGGCTTGACTGAATTTCAGACGCCTCGGTAGAAAGAAACATGGCTAAACATGGGGGAGGATGGGGTCTCGGCCACTAAATGCTCTCCTTAAACCTTTCTCAGGACTTTGAGGGGTCATTAATTTTGCCAGCATTTTCTACGTCTCTGACACTGGCCATCAATCAGAGCTGTTTTAAGTATTCAGTCAACCCCAAATTCTGACTATGTCCCTGCTCAGACAGGGACCACACACCAGTAGGAAGAGATTAAGCCTGTGCATGTCACATCACGTTGTAGTGAGCACCTCACTCCCTTGGGGTTGGGTGCTGCTGAATAAGTAAATTCCCAGAAGCCCAGAGGGTGTGGTGGTAATGTTTAACAATATCTCAGCAATACGGAACAACTTGCGTGTTTTAGGAAATTTATCTTCCTCCCGTATTAAAGTTCAGTGGTTTAATAATTTGTCTCTGAATCTTGGTATATTTAAGGACTCTAACAAATAATGTACATTTGTAAAAGTCTGTAGGAATCAAAGCGTCACTCGTTTTTTCAGTATATATATATTTACACAGACACACACACACATACACACGTATAACTTTTTGAGCTGCTCTGCTCCAGCCCCATCCCCTCTCACCCTCTCAGCCTTTATTCAACAATAGAAACTTGTTTCCGGGATCTGTGCGTCAGGCTCTGTCATGTGAATGACCCACCAGCACAAAAGCCAAGACCCCCCGACTTGGAAAAAAAGGGGGATATAGCTGCCATGACTGTGATGATGTCACTTTGCCAAAACTGTGCCGTTAGCAAAGAGAGGAGACAAAATCGGTTTGGGCAGGCATTAAAAGCCCCTGCACTGAATGCATGCGATGCCCTGATAAGGCTGCAGCTGTTTCCCCCCTGTTTTTATGATAAATGTAAACTTTTTTGGACATTTATTTTGAAACATTTATGGAAACAGATGAAATTGCTCATTCACTTCACAAGTTCTTGTTTTTTTCACATAGTTGGCAGTTGTATAAAAAGTTAGATTTGTTGTCTTTGTTTTGTATCCACCTGCTGTTCTAATATTTTTTTCTTCTAGATTTGTGTTGTGTGGCTACAGATAATTAGTGCTATCAGTATCACTGGCCCTTTTCTCCCTGGGATTAGCATAAGAAAGAATTTGCCACCACTTTAGACTTTTTCATGCCTCAAAAACCCTAATGAGTCACCGCTTCACCTCAAATGGATCTTCTGAAAGAGGAAGGATCTTCACTTGTTACCTTTTCAGTTATGCGCCTCCAGGATCACTTGAAATAATTAATGAAGCTTTAAAGTGATTCAAGGATGTGCCAGATAGAAACTGTTGCATTGCCTTGTAAACCGAAATACTGAAAAATATAAGCAGGGTGAAAAAGTGGCTGCCAATTTGATCACTCCAAAAAAAAAATTCCACTTAAATTCTGATAAGTGCTGGCAACTTAACAATCTGGCTCTTGGACACATCCTCCATTGTATTCACTGCTGGCCAAGAAACTTCCTGTAAATACGTTATTGTTTACAACAGAAGTTTCATACCCAGGATTTCTTAAGGTCAACATTTCTTCTGGCACACTAAGCCTGAACTGCACTTTATTCCCCTTTAATTTAACAGCTCCGGCAGCTTTTCTAGTTAAATCGACTGTTCATTATTGAGACCCATTTTACGAAGGGGCTGTGAGGTGCAATTTAATGAATCTCTGGCACAAAGCTCCCTTTCAGTGCTGCGCGAAGAATAGAGGCTATTTAGACCCTGTAGGGCTTTATGTCAAAGGCAGCCCATAATAGTTGTCAGGCCAGGGCAGAAATTCCCACTGGCCTGGGAATGCACTAGAAATCAACTTTTGCCATGAGCAGATTAAGACACAAGCAAGCAGTTGGGAAGATTCTCCCATATAGTGGCATCTGTTTAGACGCTTAGATTTTCCCACAGACAAAAAAAAAAAAACCCAAAACTTTCCCGGTACTGTAATGTTGTGATGTGCTAGCTCTGTTTGTCCCTGTGCCTAAATGAAAATTAAGATTATAAATACATTTTTATTTGTGTATCCACACAGGAAACAAAGAATATAAGTATATTTTTCCTTTTTTATTTTAGTGTTTGGAGAAAGACGAGAGGAACGTGTGAACAATGGTGTCGGCTAGTTGAGGAAAGTTATTTACATTTTTTCTTTTTTGGGGGGTGGTTTAAGCGTAGTTTGTTTGATAGTCATGAACGTAACAAAGGAGGATATTGTTGTTTAAGTCTAACAGAAATCATTTTGTATTACATTTCTGCCTCCGTACTCTATCCACCATGTTTTTTTCCCTTCTCACTGTAACAGTAATATCCTCGAGTTTCATGAAAGCTTTTTTGGTTCAGAGCACACACAAACAGTTAAACTAGAGGGGGAGAGTTCTGACAGAGGTTATTGTCCTCGGCTCAGCAGGGAATTTCAGACAAATCCCTCTTAGATGCAGGTGGTCGGGCACAAGCAAAGAGTTAAGTCCAGCGGTCCCATTGCCCCTCCTCTTTGATGTTCTGACATCATTTGTCCAGCCCCCCGAAAGATCTCCTTACTTTCCTCAGAGCGCGTCACTTCTACTCTGGAATGTTTACAGGAACTTCATGAGCAGCATCAGGACCAAGTTTTTATCAGTGGAAAAAGGGCATGCTGTGAAGAAATTTTGGGTTTAAGGATCACAGTGGATGCCACAGGTGTAGCTGCTGGGCTCAACAGAGTAATGGCTGTTCAGACTGCAATCATGAACCCTCAGTTCATGAATTTCTGCTTCCCTGGCTCTGTGATGGAGTATGATGTGGAAAAAAGTCTTGATGGAAGTCTCCTGGGCGAGACAGAAAATGATGAGGACTACAAAGAGACGACGAGGGATTTGTTGAGTTTCATAGACTCAGCCTCCAGCAATATCAAGCTAGCTCTGGACAAGCCGGTGAAATCTAAAAGGAAAGTCAACCACCGGAAGTATCTGCAAAAGCAGATCAAAAGGTGCACTGGCATTATAACACCAGGAAATGCTGCAGAGGCCCCAGTAAAAAGACAGGGTTCTCCACTGACTCAGCCAAGCACTTTGCAGAGCAAAACTCTACCTAAGCGTGATGGTGTTCAGGCCAACTTGCAGAGCAAAAGCTTGGCAGCTCTCTTCAGCCCTGTGAAGGATATAAGGGGTGAAAAACCCAAGAAACCACCGCTGAGGCATCGCAACCTGCCCCCTTCTTTCTTTACCGAGCCTGCTAATTGCTCCAAAGTCAGTTCAACATCTGGGATGACGCTGAAGGACTTGGAGCGAGGCAATCCAGAGGCTACAGAGTTCTTTGAGCTACTGGGGCCCGATTACTGCAACATGGTCAGCGATCAGGATATTTATCAAGGCATGCCTCTCCGGGTGCAGCCAGAGTTGGGAGGACCAGATCCAGCTTCCTACGATACTCATCATTTAGTTGGTGGCCTCCTCTACTCTGAACCCTGGACTAGCTGCTCAGGACCCTCTAAAAAAGTAGGGGAGAGTCTGCGTACAGGCCCAGCCCAGCCTCCTGTCTACTGTCAGTCTGAGGGTGCTACGGGGCCCATAGAAGACAATGCGCTGTGCACTTTAGCCTTTCCAAACTTCTTCGCAGACTGCCCCATACCTCAGGTCACCTACGATTTAACTGGTGGTTATAACAGGGCAAATTATTCATCTCTATGAGAGGCTGACAATTCTTTTGGCTTATAATATGCAGATAATTATGTTTAACAGTAGTTTATCATATCAGGTTTGTTGTGAAAGCAGTGTTGCAACTGGAAAACATGTAGCATCATCCCTACTCAACAAAGTGTGTCATGCAATTACTTCTGGAAACAAAGTAACTATACCAAGTGCTTCTGTCACTCATAGTTTTTCCACTTGTGATAAAAAGCTTCACGCATGTATATGATTGCGTCTCTCTCAGGCAATTTATATTGCAATCGATGAAAATGCATTTGATTCTGGCTATGCTGTTGCTTTAGTTAAGTTGTCCACTTGAGAATGTGCAAATCAGACTACAGATTATAACATTTATATATTTTACAAAAATAATCACACAAGCAGCACAAATACTTGTTGGTTTAGTCCACAAAGCATCTCTTTCTGTTTTTTTTTTAATATATCATAGGACTGTTTGAGAAAACAAATGGAGCACTTTTCCTGCTAGTAACATTTCTGTGCAGCAACATAAAAGGGACTACTAATTTTAATTTTCAAACAGTAATGTCTGATGCCGTGTTTGCTTGATGAAGTTTTATAGCTCTGAAGTTATTTTCAGCTGGAAGAATTTCACTTGTGCCCTTTTGTCTGTGGAAAAGCCTTTAATGTATCTAGCTATTGTAATAAGAGGAAATAAAGCTGGCCTTTATTACTGTGTCTGGTTGTGTTCATTGTGGTTGAGGTTTAATTATCATGAAGAAATGAGGATACAAAGCAGAAAACGTCCGTGACTGAAGATGTATGTTTGTAAAATATAACAGTTAATCTGTATAAAAATACACACACTTTGCTGCATGGTGCATTTTTACAATTCTTCTGGATGCTTGGAAAAACTATGTGCTACATTTTGTTGACAGAAAATAATAAAACCTATGAAAAGCTTCACTTTACCTTTGTGATTTTGAAGTAAACACAATTGCTAAACATGTAACATTGATTACTTTGCACTACCACTGCACTGGAACATTAGGTGGAAAAATATCTAAATATTGTCATTTTGCCCATATGTTTAGTTTAAGTTGACTGGCGATTTAATCTTGAAACCCTTTAAAGCATAACCTTTGCACAGGAGGTCTCTGGAGATTTGAATGCCAGAATCCTCTTAATGGTATACAGCGTTACCTCCCTCTGCTGGCTGCTAAAGGTTCATTCATTTGCATTCTAACATCGAACCTCGTCCCGGCCCACACATTTGTCTTGAAGTATCACTCTAGAGCCTGCATGAAATGACAGGGGTTGAAAAAAACCCCAAGATTTAATATGAAATTGTGTCATGAAAAATGGTGACTTCGAGGGTCCTGTAAACCATAGTGGAACTCTAGGGTCTGCAAACATGAGCGTTCTTTAATAGAACTTGAACATCCTTGTTGTTCTGGGGTCACAAATACTAGAGACAGAACTGCAATTACTCAAGATTGTTTTCGAGGACCCAATAAAAGTTTTGCCGTGACATTGAGGCCTTTCAGTGCAAGGCGAGAGATGAATTTGAAGTCAAGGAAAGTTCTTAAACTTTTTTCTTTACTCATTTTGCCCCCATATTTTTTAAGCACAATTACTGATTTCTTTTTACTTCAGTAACCATGCACAACCTGTCTCAGCTCTGGTCTCTGTCACACTCTTTACATGTACACATATGTAAAAGCTATTCACCTCTTGGCAGCTTAGATCGAATACAAGGTTTGGACACAATTAACCCCAGTTTACTGACCACAGTGGACTCATTTTCTCAATTTTCAAAATCAAAAATATGTCTTTAGTCTGTAAGCAGCTATTTAGCAAGTGCGCTAGATGGCAGTATTGTTCTGTTGAAAACCCAGTGTCCACCACTCCCATCCAGACACCAATGATATATGGCATTATGAATGTAATTCTAGCCTCTTATGCTGAGTTGTTCTGCACACACCTGCTCATAAAATGAATCTGTCATGATTTAGTAAGCTGCACTGGAATTAATAGTTGTAAAGTAATTTTTTAATTTCTTGGTCTTTTTTCATTTTTGGTTTAAAAGAATCCTCACTCACCACCAATAAGATGCTGTAAGCATAAACAATTATGGTGCATATATCCATTGTAATGCACCCTCTACTATGAAGCTAATATTATCTGCCAGTCTTTTGTTTTACCTCCTGCCAGTTGGGTTTATTGGAAACTGGTCAACATTACCCCCTGCCATACGCGGGGAAAAACAATATCTGGCGACTTGCAATACAGCAAACTATGCTCACAGAAGGCATATGGATTTTCTGTCTCTGAGTTAACATCAACTGATACATTCAGATTAGACTCCTCTGATGATGGAGCCACTGCTGAAAGCCTCGCTTTCATTTGTGGCACACAGGAGTAGCAATGTTTGTCAAAGGGATTAACAAGATCTGTGTTAGTTCTGACCTGAATACCAAGAGGCAGATATCTTGGTAAACGAAATAACAATCAGCAGATTATCTAGCATGGCGTCTGATGTCCTTTAATGCAAAAAGGAAAAACAAAAATACAGGAGCTCATAATGTCAAGTGCATGCACACATATGAACTCAACAGAATCTGTATTGAAGCAAACCCTACTGCAGAAGTTCAATTTCCAGTGTGCACAATAACGTCTGTGCAACACTGGAAATTGAGAATCTACTTCCATGTTTGCCCTCTCACTGACCTTTCACAGCTTGTCCTCGTGTCTTGTTAACACCACAAGGCTGAAAGCACTGTGCAAGACGATATTCACGAGCCTTTTTTACCCCTCTCCATGACAACTTTTGTCACTCACAGAATAACCATTGTATGTTTACAACTGAAGGCAAATAAATACTATAATAGTAAGACTTTCCATGTAGGTTGCTGAAGCATCACCATTATCTTAAACTAATTTCAAGTTCTACAAATTATGTAAAAAAAATGCTGGATGAAATTAACTGAGAATCGCTCCTCGTATCAGGTTATAGCCTATTTGCTTGTAAATATTACATATTTATTTGACATTTCTCTCAAATGCAAAGTACTATATCTTTAAAAGCCCATCTATATTTCAATGTCAACAAGTGCCTTTCTATTACCAGTGCAGATAGCCACTGATGTATTCGTTCTTCCATAGATTTCCTCTCTAAGTCTTCAAATAGATCTTTTGCCTGCAACAAACTGAACTTTGAATCCTTAAATTTGGAAATGCTATTTTATCACAAAGCATGTTGTAGGCTGCTTCCCATCTTTTCAAGGGCATCATGCTGCAAGTTCTTTAAGGATTGTAAACAAGGTCAGCGCTGAGAGATCTCTTCACAGTACGCCCTGCAGTTCTCACATCTTATTTTGCAAGTGCTCAACCAGCGGGAGCAGTTAGAATTACAATCAGAAACAGGTTTACGTACACATACGAGGAGTGTCAATCAAGAAATAGAGGGTAACTAGTGTTTATGCAAATAAAAACAAATGAACATACATCTACCGAAAAGACGAGTGATCAGTTAACATTCATTCTAACACATGGGAAATCCCTGCCTGACCCCCTTTTTGTCCATGTTGTAAGATTAAACAAAACAGTGGTTTGCTTTCAGCACAGTATATTTATTTCCATATGCATGTCATGTCTCACCGCTTTCCATTTAAGTCTGCATTCATTTTCAGTAGCTATGACGCACTGTTTTCTACCTCGAGGGTGTTGTGGGTATGCTTGCTTACATCTCTGTGTTTTTGTCAGTGTGATAACAATTGCAAGCTGTGCAGCTGACAAAAGTCTTGGCTAGATTAAAGACAATACTGCCTCAAAATTTTTCATCGCCAGCAGATGCTACTCATATTGAAAGACAAAACTCTCACACTGATAAATATCAATCAAAAATCAACTCCCTGCTCAGATGACAGATTTTGATATCTGCTGCTGCTGTTTTGACTTTTCACTTAAAACCTGGGCTGTCAAGAGGCTGCAGAAAAGCCAAACGATAGCGTCACTTTAGTAAATGCAATTATGGCTTGGTGTTTTTTCTCATGTCTTAATAATTAACACAGAATAAAAACAAAACATTGCACTACTGATTAACTCCACATATACACACACACATACACGTATATGTGCGTGTGTGTTACTTGTTGAGTCCCTTTCACATTGAACAACCCATCCATCCATCTAAGTCGGGTCACGCTTGGGGGAGCTAAGTATCCATAGCATGTTTTAGCCAAGCAATTTCCTCAGGTTTCCCCACTCATAGTTGGTCACGCTCCATCAGAGTCACAGCTAGAGATTTTGTGGCTCTTGACAACAGCTAAACAGAAGCTTTAATACAATGAATATCCTGGGTATTTTTCCAGGGGCCTGTTCAGCTCTTGGCCCCCTAAATTATTCAAGGTATGTGTTTGTGGTCAGTAAACACTTACTGATGTCACCCTTGTTGCGTCAGTTTCTGCTCCTGTATTTCAGTCAGTATAAAAAGCAAAGGATGACAGGTTGAAAGAAAAAAGAAAAAACAGATGTGGATGTACTTTAGATTTTATTACTAACTGGAAATCAAGAAAACCTTCTTGACGTTGTCCTACCACATACTCTGCTTGATGGGTCAAGACTCATCAGTTTTACTTCTGCACCAAGTCTTTGACAATGTGAACAACAGCACCACAGTGTTATTTTATAACCCAAACTGGGCAAATGCTCCCTGCTGTGTACTAGCTTCCCAAACTTTCTTAATTTCCTGTCTTTGATAATTGCAAATGGGAGAAGCAGCAGGGTGTAACTTCTGGGCTACTCCAACACCACCTCAGGAGACACGGTCATTAGCCATTTCCAAATACGCCAAACACATTTTGACAGGTTTGGCATATTCCCGTAGCCATCTCATCATTTTCCTCCGGGTAAAAAGCATGCCCATGCACCGTTAACAGGAATAAACGCAAAGTTTGATAACTGCTGTAATTGCTCTAAATGAGGAGAAATACAGACCACTTTATAAACTAAATAAGACATTCACTTTAAATTGATGTACGATTGCTCCGAACGACTTCAAAGACAGACAGCAGGGCAGCAGCTAGAATAAAGATAGCTTCAAACGTACAAACAATTAGCTATGTTGCTTTTAAAACAGCTGTCCAAAGCAACTAGACTCTGTGTGTTGCCTCACCCGAGTGTTCCCAGATAAAACAAATCACAATCGGTTATTTATTTATTTGTCTGTTTGTTTTATTTCTCTGATGTTCTCCAGCACTGTGCGGCAGAGGTTGGTGTTAACTGTATGAAAATGAGGTGGCAGTCGATGTTCAGTAGCTCTGTGTAAATAAAATTCCATGTAGATACAGCAACGGCATGAGCTGTGAAGTGTCTTTACTGACATTGTTTACCTGATGGGCTGGCTCTACATGTTCTGTTACTTCCTAACAAAGGGGGAAAGACAAGCGAAACAGAAACAACACTGTTTATACTAATGTTAATGAAACATTTTCATGCTTAATTATCGTCTTTCGGGGCAATTTGAAATCCAGACATCAGCACAAAGCAGGAATGACAAACCGATTTGGCACAATGACCAATATCTGGTGGTCAAAACGTGATTACAGCTATAACGTTTTTTAGTAATAGTAGGTAATTCCTCTGTGGCCTTATAATTAATACTCAGAGCTTCTCAGCAATAAAAAGACCACTCGTTATAATTGGCGCAATTGCAAAATTAACGGAATTAGCTGTGAGACTCTGCAATCTGTCACTTACCCTGCAGCCATGTTCAGTTTTTACTCTGAAATGTAG